CATAACTATGTCATACTTTATTATTTAAATAGAATTTTAGAATGTGTGTTTTGGTGTTGGTTCAGATATAAGTAGTGGCTATGTATAGAAATCATATTTTACTACTTGTTAAATATCGAGTGTAAATTTATTTATATATTGCTTTTCTTTGTTAGTTTTTAAATCAGAAACATCAAGTGTATTAATCATTGTATATTTAAAAATATGTTTGGTTTAGAAACTCATGTAAACCTATTGCAACTTTAAATAATTATTCATTGTTGATATTAATACTTTAAAAATCACAAAGGAACTTTTTGAAACTAATTTCAAATTAATTTTTTTTAATTTTTTTTTGTCTTTTCGTAGTATTTTTTATTTATTGTAATTTTTATACTTTTTGTATGTTTGATATATTTAGGACTTATATTCTTTTTCTTAAGCTCTTTTGTTGTTGATTTTCTATATAGGTATCATAGACATCACATTAATTTCTTTTATACAAATGCTTTTTCTTTGTTAAATTTGTTTTTAATATTAATTTTAATTCTAGTTATAATGCTGATTTGATATGCTCTAACTGTTGAATTTTAATCTTAGATGAATTTTTCTCAAAAGTTTATAACATCATTTATTTATTTTAGTCAAGTTTTTCAAAAACTTTAGCCCAAGTTAGTTTACTTTTATACGACTTTTTCTTTTGTTAATTTGCCTCTTTTGATAATCATTCCTAATTTTTGAAACATAAATTTATAACATGTTGAAAGCTAAAAAGTATTTAATAAAACATGTTTAATTTTTCATCGTATCATAATAGCTTTAAAACAGTTTGATTTTATATCTAAAAACACAATAGAAAATTAAAGTATGATGAGGTAATGCATGTGAGCTTACTTACTATGTCAAATATTCAGTATAGTCAGTAGTTGCTTCAATATATTTGTCAGAAAAAACAGGGTAGAAGAAGTGGAGTGCAAAAATAATACTTTTACATGATGCAATTTAAAATATGGTGTTAAGAGTTAAATAAATCTTATTATCTAATTTATTTCAGGATTCATCATATTTTCATAAAGAATAGTAAAACAATGGTAATTATATATTTATGATCACAAACCTTGAAATGTTTTTGAGTTCATAATTGTGGCCAGGAACACGATAGGTTTGACAACACTTTTCATTATTTTTCTTTGAAAATTGGCGAAAAAGCAACATGAACAATTGACCCACTGTTTAGAAAATATAAAAGAGTGCTAAGTAAACATAGATTTTATTCCAGATTAGAGTATATAAATGAGTTGTTGGGAAAACATGCTTATCTTTTTAATTGTAAGTGGACATTTATTTTATTATGACTTCCACCATTAGCTTAACAGGACAAAAAAAGTTCTCGTCGTTGATGATGATCAGTTTTCTAATAGCATCTACACAATATATGACGTTATTATTATATATTTGTATATGTGCAATGCATTATAAGTTATAAATTTTTTAATCTATGGTATAAGTTTTAAATTTTACGATATTAGTTTTTGGTTAGCTTGACTTTTTTTTCATTAAATTTCAAGGGATATTATAATTTGGTTTTTTAATATAATTTTTTTTTCTATTTGTTACTTAATCTTTTTTTTTCATCTATAAAATGAAATTAATTTTTTTTTTATTTTTCTTGTCAATTAATTTAGAAGTTAGAATTTTCCTAATCTATATTATAAGTTTGAGCTTTTATGATATTGATTATTTTTGTTAATTTATCTCTTTTGAAAATAAATTTTCATTTTATTTGGAAGGATTATGATATTGATTATTTTTGTTAATTTATCTCTTTTGAAAATAAATTTTCATTTTATTTGGAAGGATACTATTTTTTTGGTTTTTAACATAATTCTCTTTTCTATTTTTACTTATGCCTTTTTTATTCTAATTTTTCCATCTATAAAGCGAAATTAATGTTTTAGATTTTGACGGATGCTATATTTTGGTTTTTTTAACACAGTTTTCTTTTCCAATTTAATTTTTATTATTTTGATTTTTCCATCAATAAAACGAAATCAATGTTTTATATTTTGTTGTCAATTAATTTAGAAGTTAGAATTTTCCTAATCTATATTATAAGTTTGAATTTTTATGATATTGATTTTTTTGTTAAATTATTTTTTTTGAAAACAAATTTCTATTTTCTTTTTAATGATACTATTTTTTGGTTTTTTTAACATAATTTTCTTTTCTATATATTACTTAATTTTTTTTCTTTAATTTTTCTATGATTAAAATGAAATCAAGGTTTTAAGCATACTTAACATTTTTTATTTAATGAAAAATGCTGATGTGGATCAATTATATTGAATTTTTTAATCCTATGTAGACACCCTTAGAGGCATTTAGCATCAACTTTTATTAGTAATAGATTTCAGAAAGGCAATCATTATATTTTAGTTCTTTAATTTTTTGTTTTAAACTCACACCTGTTTTTGATTTTATTATTTTAAACTAAAATTAAAATAATATATTTTATTCAATTACTCTCACTTACTTCTACTTACTTTTAATTCCTTCCAATTACTCTCATTATTACCATTCAAGGTAAAATTTTTTTCTCTTTTCATATTCTTCTCAATTCTTCTAATTATTACTTTTTTTTTCTTCTCAATTACATTCTTCTCAATTTCTCTCAATTCTACTAATACACACCAATCAGACCCAAAAAAACAAAAATACACACTTGCGTAGATTGTTAGAGGATATAATAATGATATATATTGTAGCAAAAAATACAACTGTTAAAATTCATAGCTAGAAATAACTCTGAGAATGAAAGTTGTCTTTACCGCTAACATGAATCACTTTTAAGTAGTTATTAAAGAAGTAAAGAACTAGACTCATATATATAATACATCATATCCATTTTAGTTAATACAGAAGACAAAAAAGTGAGAGTAAATGGTTTTTAATATTTCAAAAGAGAGCATTTACAAAAGCAAGAACAGAGAAAAACACGTAGTAAAATGGGGAAAAACTTAGTGTGTAGTAAAAGAAAATTATGAAATGAGAATTTGGTATCTTAAACCATCTCTAATGGTTACTTCAATTTTTAATATAAAATGCACTTGCTTAAAAACAACTTTAATATTTTAGATTCAAAGCTTAAATTCTTCGTTGAATAGTACATATAATGACTTAAAGATCAGAGTTTCTAATCGCGGAATCATAAATGCATTAGTTGTTTCAACAAGAGAAAAATTATAGAAATTTTTGGTTTTGTTTTCCTCAATTTGTAAAATCACTCATTTTAAATTAAATCTTTTAATTAATACTAAGTGATTATCCGCGTGGGTTTTATCATATAAATTTTTTTAATTATACATTTGTATTTTTGTGTGTGTTTAGAACTCACTAAAATGATATAAAAGCAAATAATTTGTGTTTTTAAAGCTAATTCCATATTTTTTTTTTGTTTGTCTTACATTTACAATTTATATTACCATATACCTATGAACGTAAAAACACTACAAGATTGCCCATATACTTAACACTTATTTTGGAATTCAAATAACTCTATAAACTTACCATGAAAAAAAAACCCTATATTTTCTAATCCCATTTTCTTTTTCTTACTACCAAGACTGCTCTATATCTTTATTTCACATCATGTCATTGAGCTTGGGGATTGGGTTACTTGCCTGGCCGGTTTTGACCACCTGTTCTATTATATTCACTTTCGTCTATTTCATCAATTTTAAATATTCCATCTATCTCATTTATTCTAAAGAGAAAAAAAGAAGCAGCCATTTCTCATTAGGAGAGCAGTTGTATTTTGTAATTTCAGTCAAAGCAAATATACATCAAACCAAATTTAGAATCATATATACATGAAAAGAAGAAAATAATAGTAAGATAAAGACACATAACCTACAATTAACCAGTGATACACGACATTTTGTGTGATCAGCTCCAATATCTTTAGTGTATTCAACCTCCAAAAGTCAACATATAAAAAAGATTGATATCCCTTGATAAAAATCAGAGTATTAGTAAAGTCTACAACATAAAGATAATATGGTTAAAAAATCTTTGCGTCAACAACACTGGAACATCAGCTACATATAAAATGAAAAGAATAATGAATAAGGAAAGAAATGTTGAATTTCAGTAACACGTTTGTTTCTTTTTTATTTCTTTTTTAATCTAAAGTGAAACATAATTTCTAATTTCTTTTCGTTTTTGTAAGTTAATTTGTACCGGTTGTTATTGACTAAATACTGATTGCACCAATTGACTAAATGTATTTTAGAGTTAACTTTTGTGATATTGTAACTGGATACATAGACAAAACCTCTGTTTAGAACACTCGGTTTAAGCATAGTAAATTTTTTTAAAAAATTGCAAATAAATTAGAGAATATTTGGTGAGTAATTTTTTATATAATTTAATATTTTAAAAAAATTTATGAATAAAAATATTTAAACTAAAAGTTTATACATAATTTATAATTAATAGGAAATCTGTAGAAAGATAATATCTAGAGAGGCTAAAGATCGAAGACAAACACTTGCCACAATCCTCTTGAGGATTGAGAATTGGGATTAACAAAAAGAAAACAGAACTAACTTGAAGATAGAGATGTAAAAAGACTGGAAAATGAGTTTTGAGATCCAAGTTTTATGAAAGCAATGTTTTATTGGATCTATTTGTGGCAGATATTATAAAAATAAGAAAGAGAAGAAGTCTTAATCTGCAGAGAGAAATGAGGCGATTCCAATGATCTTGCTAGCTTGCTGCTATCATCCTTCACCACTGAATCCTTAGAACAATTTGTTGTATGTTCCACACCAACTTCACCTTCCTACATATTCTACAAAATACAATCATAACATAATTTCAGGTGCTACTCTTGTTATATACTGTATATCGATCAACAATTAATCAAGCAATGAATTAAGGGTGAAGCAAGCCGTCAATAAAAAAAAATTAAGATTTCCCAATGTGATTACAAGTTTATAATACTTCATACATTGTCGAGGTTCAAGTATGTAAGTAACTTTTATTATAAACAAATGTCAAAAACAATACAAGATTTCTGTTCGGATCAACAACGATCCTGAAGATTTATAATTTTCTGCTTTTATACATAAGCGGCAACATATATTACACACATCATACTACAAAAGAGAAATCAAATGTACAAAACTGCTCATAAAAAAAGAGAGCTAAAACCGAAGCCTGAACATGTCTGAAGACTGAACCATTTCTCTCATATGCGCTGCTTCAAACCTTCACTCCTATCCGTTGAGCAACCTGCAGAGCAGAAAAATAAAACACACATTCAATTCCGGTTACACCATTGATTTCAAACTCTTGAGAGATTTGAGGAAACCAGAGAGATTCGTATACCTGTTTAAATGAAGTAACTTCACTTCCCCAGAGCGAAGCGTCACAGCCTGCATCTCTAACGCCCTATACATCATTCCTACGGTCATCTCCTACATGAACCGCATCCTCAGGATTCACTCCTAAAACTCACAAGCTTTCAAGAAGATGGTCGGGTTTGGTTTCTCCGCTTCAACCTGCGAAACAATCAACCAAAAGCCTTTAATACACACTCACTCCCAAACATTTCACATCACCGACCATAAAAGGAAAATAGGTTATGTTACTTCTGCTGAAACAGTCACCGCATCAAACCAGTCTTCACATCTCAGTGCTCGTAGGAGAGGTCTTAATCGAGTGTCGAAGTTGGACAGAATGGCAACTTTTACACCCGCTTTTTTAATAGCCTTGAACACTTTCTCTGCCTCTGGATCACATAGCTTCCACGCCTAAGGTCAAGCAAATGGATAAAATAATCAAGAGAAAGAAACAATCTTTTAAAATGTTCCTCAAACGTATGGAGAAATAGCAGCTGAGATCATACCTGTTCTGTAGTAAAATAGCTGTAGAACTCTTCAAAGTACTGAGAATCAGAACAGCCTGTTGATGCACACACTATTTATTGCCAGAAAGGTCTCGCGTCATCTACATATCTGCAAACAAAGGAGTCAAAATTAAGAACATCACACACGGTTATCAGTTATCACTCGCAAGCAAACTCCTTCAGAAGACAACAATTCAATCTTCCTAAGAGTTAGTTTCAAACCTGATTTGCTACAGAGATGCATAATGCACTAACACTATGTAAAATCTGGAACTCAAACAAATGAAAAACCACATAGGAACATTTAAATCCAAGCAAAGTTTTGCTTTAATCCTAACACGATGTCCTCACTCTCTTTCTCTATTTCGATTTAGCAAGCAGAAGATATAGATGAAGAAGAGAGTGACTAACTGATCTGAGAGACTAACTACCTTCTTTGAAATTGAAAACTTGAAGGGAGTTCGAGATGGAGATGGAGGGGCTTTAGTGACGGAAAAGCTGGACTTTTCTTACCAGGAGACGTCGATATTTCTTTGGATTTCAATTTAACCAGCTTTTCATTGGAAAGAGAAAGAGCGATTGATTTTTGGAGAAGACGCTTCGGTATAAACTATTTCATGTTCGACTGAATTGAATTGACTCAACGGGATTAGAATTTGGAACGGCTGCGTATGTGTTTCATAAAGTTTATAAAAAACGGTGTCACGTTAACTTTGAGACACCTGATTTTATTTAAATTAAGTTTATTAAATAAAAAATACCGATGTGTCAAAGAGAGGGGTGATGGTGTGTCATTTTTTTGTGAGACACAACCCACTTTTTATATAATAGATAGTAATATATATTAATAAAAAATCATATATTTGATGTTATAGTAATTTTTGATTAGTAGTTGATTTAAAAACTATTAATTTATAATCACGAGGTTGAGAGTTTAAATTTCTGAAAATATGAATACAGTATATTGGTGTAGATTTTTTGGATGTTATTTTTGTAAGTTGAATCAAGTGGTGTTGTATCGCGTGTTATAGAATATGTGGTTAGTAATAAGATTTGCCTATATGAAACTTTAGGGTTCATTACCATATGGTTATATATTGTAACGTTATTATTTTATAAAAGCTCGTTCATCCGCATTTCAAAAAATAAAATTAGCCGTTGTAATACAATATTAGTGATACATTGTTGTTTGGTGCTATTGACCGTTACAATCTGAATAAACGGTGACGTTTTAAGGTGGCCAACACACTCTTCTTTCTCTAGGTCAAATCATTATTACTCTTGCGAAGATCAAATGCGAAATCATCATCTCCAGCTTTTGATGAGTTTATAGGCTTTTCTTATGTCTTCTCGCCTTTGAATTCAACCGCTTCATTCACTTTTATATTTCAATTTTGATTTCTAGGGTTTTCGATTTTCGTTTGTTTCTCTTCAAACCCCGAAGACGATCAAATAACTTCTGAAGCAATCACCGTCTCTTTGTATGTCGTATTCGCTTTTGTGGGTTTTTCTTTTGATCTTGTTGCCTTTGATTGAAAAATCATTTCGTTTTTCTTTGTATGTTATTCTGCCTCTAGGTTTATAAATTCCCCTTGTCTTTTCCATCTTCGATCAAAATTTGTATCTTTCCTCTGATTCTCCCTACGGGTTTTTAAATTTCCCCTTGTTTTCTCCATCTTCGATCAAATTTTGTATCTTTCCTCTGATTTTACCTACAGGTTTTTAAATTCCCCTTGTTTTCTCTATCTTCAATCAAATTTTGTATCTTTAGCCTATAGTTTCCTTTGATTCTATCTAGTGTTTTTAAAATTCGCCTGTTTTCTTGATTTGGAGTATAGCTTAACCTTGTCTGGTTTTCAATTTTCTTCCTTTTCTTGTTTTTAATTTTGGTTTTCATATCTTTGGGTCTTTAGTTTTTCGGCAATTTCATTTGCTTTGGTTATAAAAATATTTTTCGTTGCTTCTCTGAAATTGTATCTCAATGGTGTTTTTTGTTTCGGTCCCTCTTTATTGGTTCTCTATACTTAGAGACGAGGTAATCTAAATTACCTCTCTAGAACTGGAACGTCCCTGAAGTGTCCTGCGTTTTTGAATGATTCGGTAAACAAATGCCTCAGTCCTGTAAACGAGGTAATCTAAATTACCTCTCTGAGATGTCCCAAAGATGATGCCATAACTCAAACGAGCTTGTCCCGCTTCGAGTAACTCGGGTCTATACACAAATGCCTCGTACTATAAATGAGGTAATCTTAATTACCTCTCTAAAATGGTCCCTGGTGCGAAAACGCAAAATGAGTTTGTTCAGCTTCTTTGAATAAACAAATGCCTCGTCAAGGTAATCTTAATTGTCCTTGATGCCACAACCTATAAGATATTGTCCGGTCGAGTTGAATAACTCAGTTTCCTAGTCAACTGAGATTGATGCAAATGCATCATACTAGATTAAAATACCTCTGTGAAATGTTCCTAATGCAGAACTGAAAGAGCTTGTCAGGTCGATTCAAATAACTCAGTTTCCTAGTCAACTGGGATTCACACAAATGCCTCGGTGCTAGAAATGAGGTAATCCAAATTACCTCTTTGAAATGTCTCTAATGTAGAAACGTAAGAGCTTGTCTGGTAGAATTGAATAACTCAGTTTCCTAGTTAACTGAGATTAAAACAAAGGCATCAGTACTAGAAATGACCTCTGTGAAATGTCTCTAATGCAAGAACTAAAAGAGCTTGTCCGGTTTATTTAAATAGCTCAGTTTCCTCGTCAACTGAGATTCACACAAATGCCTCAGTACTATAAGTGAGGTAATCCAAATTACCTTTGTGAGATGTCCCTAATGCAGGAACTAAAAGAGCTTGTCTGGTGGAATTGAATAACTTAGTTTCCTAGTCAACTGAGATTAAAACAAATGCCTCGGTACTAGAATGTCCCTGGAGTGTCTTTGATGCAAGAACACAACTGAGCTCTGTACAAATGCCTCAATCATACACAAAGGTAATCTGAATTGCCTCTTTGAAACGCATCTCTGATGCCAGAACCAAAAAGAGCTTGTCCGGAAAACTCAGTTTCCTAGTCAACTGAGCTTAAAACATATGACAAATGCCTCGGTACAGAAACGAGGTAATCCAAATTACCTCTGAGAAATGTACTCATTGTGCCAAAACCAAAAGGAGATTGTCCGGTCTATTTGAATAAACTCGGTTTCCTAGTCAACTGAGATTAACACAAGTTCCTTGTCCTAGAAACGAGGTAATCCAAATTACCTCTGAGAAATGTCTATGATGATGTGAGAACCTAGAAGAGCTTGACCAGTCTACTGATTGGAGTAACTCAGTTTCCTAGTCAAATGAGATTAACATAAAGGCCTCGTACTATAAAGAAAGGTAATCTTAATTACCTCTTTGAACCGTCCCTGATGCAAGAAGAGCTTGTCTGGTGTATCAACTCAGTTTTCTTGTCAACTGAGATTAACACAAATGTCTCGTACTATTAAAAATGTAATCTTAATTACCTCTTTGAACCGTCCCTGAGCTTGTCTGGTCTATCAACTCAGTTTCCTTGTCAACTGAGATTAACACAAATGCCTCATACTATTAAAAAGGTAATCTTAATTACCTTTCTGAAATTGCCTCGACCTGGTCTAACTTAAGGGAACTGGTAATCATAATTACCTCTCTGAAGTTGCCCAATCTAAAAGAAAAATCTAAAAACCGTCCCTGGAAAACAAATGCTTAAAGACATTTCTCAAATGGCACAAATCAGGTTGAAGAACAATATGCAGAAGTACGACATTTATGGAGCATGCATGACTCAAGCATAAATACAACTTCCAGGTATCTTTTCAAAACTATTTGTCTTCCTTTTATTCAGGTATGTGAAATCTTTAGTTCTTCTATATACATTGTGTTTTATATCTTAACTGAGTTTTGGCTCTAATGGTTAATCTGTTTCTGTAGTTTTTTAATACAGGTTGACCTCAGTACTACAGATTCATCGTGTGTACACATTATCGAGAAGTAGTGAGTAAACATAAAGATGTTTTCATATACTTCAACTTCACTTTTCTAACTTTCTTTGTCATATACTTCGCCTCTAGGTTTCAAAGATCAGCACAGTAATTTCAGATTATTTTCTTTCTACTCCTCAGAGTTTTATTTAGGAATTGGAACTGGTCTTAAAACATATGCAAGTTGCTTTTGCTTTTAGTTTTTCTAGTTCTAAGAGAAACTGGATTTAATAAATTTGCAGAAGTTTGATATCCATGTTGCTTGAGTTAATGTTAAATATTGCTGGATTCCTTTAGAATTAGATTTCATTCATTTCAGTTGTCAAAATCCCTATATCTGCCATATACAGTACGTGATTCTTTTTATTTTATTTCGAGGAATTTATAACTTGTATTCTTCTTCGGTCCATAATTTGCTTTCCTTGTTCATACGATTGATGGATGATGAAATGTTGTATATGAATGATCTTTAAATTTGACCACTTGTTACAATTGAGAGCTTACAGCTGAATTCAAAATGATTCTCTTAGTTTTGTAAATCGTTTGAAATCTGTTCTTGAATATGTTTCATGTTATTTTTCAGATTTATTCTTTCTTGGTGCTGTCCTTTTTTCAAGCTATCATGTTAAGTTTTGCCTTTAACTTGTTTTATGTGTCTTATGCCTCTGTTTTGTATTTCTGCTCATATCATTTACGTTCTTGATTGCTAAGCTATGCTTTCCTTGTTCTTTTGATTGACTAGAGCTAGAATGATACTACTCGTTTTACACATGTGATTAATGTAGGGAACAGACTCCGTATTCTTCAGGAGAGCCAAGGGGGAGTCTCAAGTCTTTAGGCTCAAGTCTTTAAAAGATATGCTAATTGCTTTTGCATCAAAAGTCTTTTTAAGATATGCTAATTGCTTTTGCATTTGGTTTTTCTAATTCAATAAGAAACTAGGTATCCTAGTGTAATTTAATAAATTTGCAGAAGTTTGATATTAATAATTGCTGGATACCTTTAAAGCTAGATTTCACTCATTTCACTTATCTAATTCCCTATACCAGCCATGTACGTGATTGTTTAGCACTGCCTCACTGTGTAGTTTGAAACTGTCTCAGATACTTGCATGAGAGATGATTTGCTTTGAATGTGTTTTTATCATGTTGGTAATGCTGTCCTGTCAATGATACTAACTCGTTTTACACATGTGATTAATTTAGGGAACAAACTCCGTATTCTTCTGGAGAGCCAAGCGGGG